GTAATTAGAAATATGAAACCGTATATGTCTACTTCAGTACTAAAGGCAATTTATTATGCTTCTTTTCATTCCTTAATGAGCTATGGCATCATCTTCAGGGGAAATTCATCTCATAGTTACACTATTTTTTTCCTTCAGAAAAAGGCAATTAGAAAAATGATGGGATGGCATCACAATATATATTTTCTTTATCATTGTTTGTATTACAAAACAAAACTCTTTTTCCATCAAACATTGACTCTCATACTATTGATACTAGACAGAGACAAAATTTGTATCTACCTCAAGCTAATCTAACTATTTATGAGAAAGGAGTTCATTATGCGGGTATAAAGATATTTAATAAATTACCCATGGAGATTAAGAATACCTCAAATAATCTTAAAAAGTTCAAGGTTGCATTAAGGCATTTTTTAATTACTCACTCGTTTTACACTGTGGAAGAGTACTTAATTGGATAACTAGTTATATTGTTTTGTATTTAGTACGCTGCTTGTCTAGATGTAATTCTTTAATGTATGTATTTCACGCTTTTATACTTGAGTTTGTGACGTGTTCTATATCCACTATTGGATTTCTGGAACTTGTAAATAAATAAATTAAATAAAATGTGACACATGGAAAATTGTGGGAAAAATTTAAAAAAAAAACGTAACTTATGTATTATTTCTTTTATGTTGTTTCAAAATGTAGAAGTGGCCAAGAGAGCTTAGAAAGATGCAATGTTATTGAAGCCATTAGAGAAGAGAAGATACCTTGTTTAATCCTGTCCTAATACCAAGGCAAATTTTACAAATATAATGGTGATGGACCATACCATAGTTCAAATAAATGCTGACTGACTTCTCACTGCAGAAACCTAGGTTCAGTCCTCTGGAACAGGTTCCAATCCAAGGTCGTCGGTTATCTGCCGATGGCCATTCCATTGTTGCTCCATACTCATCATGCTGCCAAGCAGCACATTATCATACCTTCAGTCCCAAGTTAGGGGCTTTTATCTCTGTCCCAGCACATGAGGAGATTGTTTTGTAACTGGATACTGGTCAGTGCCATAGAAAGTCTTCATCTGTTCTGCCTCCATCACTGGGCATTTGGTCCCCACAGGCATTTAAAGCAAAAGATGGTGGGCTTCCACTAGCAAAGATCCATTTGGTAAGCATGTGCCATTGCTGTTTCTGGTGCCTTGTGTCCACAGCATGTAGCATCATCTTGATCCATGGTACATTAGCTGCACTAGGATCTAGACTCTAGATTCTAGAGACTTTCTGTACCAAGGGTCATCAGTGCCTGCTGCTTTCTACACTTGGGGACTGTCACACAACAGACAGTGGGCCGCATACTTCTCGATATGTTTGGAAGGATATCGCCAGTTCGCTATGTCATGAAGTACAGATGTACTGACACAGATTCTTTTATAAGATGTTGTAGGTGCGTCATATTGTGATTTTAATTTAAGAGTTTCTTTCTGTTTGTGTATGATTTGTTGATTTATGCTAAAGAAATTACTTGTGAAGAAATTATATTCTAAAATAAAGAAAATCTGAAGAGCCGTAGTTCCTAAGCCTTTTATATAAGCAGTCTGGTACTATACTTTTCATCCATATGCTCATGTCTAAATTGGAATGTTACGATTATGGGCTTGCACTATGTTGATGTCAGTGGTGGTGTGTGTCAGTGAAAAATGTGAAATGTTGACAGCCCAGTGGCTGGCCACTGCAACTCCATTTCTCGAGACCAAACTTTTTAGTGAACCACTGTAATTTCTAATGAGACTAATATTTAACTTTATTAATGTGATGTTTACATGTAATAAGGATAGTGTATAGCCCTGGGAATATGAGACTGACATCCCTCATAACAGCTGCAGTAGGCAAAAGGTATGATGCATCTTAAGCCTGTTGTACCTTTAATGTCAACATCCTGTTCTAGTGTATTACCCATTTCCAAAACTGTAGTGACAGTAGTATAATAACGACATATAGTATTGAGGCAATACCACTAGAGTAGTTTCAAAGTTCAGTAATAAGGTGTTGTTTAATGTTTGATCATTTCTTATGAGTCAGCTGTCAATCAGAATGTGTCAGCAAATACTGTTCTGAAATATGGAATTAATTTTGATGTTCATTTGAAGTCTGTATTCAAAAGATTTTCATAATGAACGGCATGTGACTACAGTAGCTTAACTGCAACAGTTTCTTGCCTTGGGGCATTCTTTCGACGTGTGCTTCGACCATCTGTCGGTGACGCTGCAAATGAGAAACTTGAACGTGATTAACTGACTGCATTTTCTGCCTCAAAAGCCATCACTTCAGGTTGTAAGTGCTCCACTCTGCTGTTATTACTAGGGTCTTCGTGATGACGATGTAATTGTAGGTTGATACTGTGAAGCACAAAAATTTTATTGTACCTAAAACCTAATTCCTCTTCTGATGTATATACATATGTTGTAACAATTATTCCTGCTCTGCACTGTCGGGATCTTTTCTGTTACCAATAATCTAAATTGAACGTTGATTTGCAGAATGATATATATCATTCACAAAATTTTGCTTGTAAACCTGAATGGAACAGCTAGTTCACACATCCACTTTTATTGTTATACATGTTAAATTATGTTAAAAAGAAGTGCATAGTTGTAACGCATTATTCATAATAAAATTTCCAACATTCGAAATTTGGTTTCCATCAGAAAGAAATTTAACTTAAGCACCAAACATTTTAATCTCTTCATTGAGGATATTTACTTATTTCAGGAATTAAAATTTATGTGTTTTCAAATAAAAAAAGCATAGCACTGGTTTTAAAGTGAAATACATTAAGACACATGCATTTATGAAGTTTTAAGAGATATGTAAAGGGAAATAATTAAAAATCCACTGACAAACAATGACAATGACATATGTGCACAGATTTCAAATCCAACATACCGAAATGTTAACATTGTATCTTTATTTTGAAATGCACTGGAAAGGTATCATAGACTGCCCTTGTTTAACAAAACACCCCTGTGGAATGAGATTAAGCTGGAACATTTTGTAGGATTCTTTTGCTTTTAATTCCAGCATAGCAATGGATTTACTTTTGGAAGTCATGTTTTGCCCTCCAAATCATGGGAAACAATGTGTGTACTTTCAGAAACAAATATGTGTTATACTCACCCTGCTCTGACTGTCAAAGTTTCCGGATGAAGGGAGCAGAGTACCAGGAACCGGCGTGTGCTGTGTGTGAGGGTGGGCAGATTCTCCTGCACCAGCACAAATGTGGCCGCAGTGGTTTCATTGACTTATGTGCCACACATCTTGTGGTCTATGCGTAATATGTAGGTGTCTCTAGGACTCTCCATTAAGAAGAAGTAATTATAAAAACATCACAAAATGCAGGCTGAAGATTTTGGTCAGTGAGAGAAATGAAGGTATTTTAGTAACTGGAAACTGAAGATCTCCTGAAATCTATTCAAGTGAGGTGCGCAGATAAAGTACAAGAATGGGCAGATAGGTTTGGAGGTCCTACATGACAACTTTGACATGCTTGGTTTGGGACCACAAAGGATACATGGTAAGCAAATTAATTCTATTCCTGTGCAAAACCAGAAACAGAAGTTTAAAAACACAAATAAATAATGAAGATTTGAAGTTTACTAAATCAAAAAGCTCGTAATTCCTCCTAAATAATTCGTATTTGCCCTCACGGGGACCAAAATTCGCAGCATTGAGTTGAGCCTTTACACGAGCTTCAAAATGGGCACTGCAGTGAATCGGTACGTGTTTTGGGTCATAGGATGCGTATTCCTAGTAGCTGACTGAAAATCAGCACCGATTTGAGAGAAAAATGTTGGCTGTAATAGTGCCCACCATTCGGTAGCAAGTACTTAAATTAATAGAACGCTATGAAAGTGAATCAGTGTTAATATTATAAAATCCCACTTGAGTAGTGTACGGAAGAACATTCAAGGTTGTGATGACGCGCATGCACTTGGCGATTGGTGGAGGACAGAGATCGATAACTGCCGATTCGTCTTGACGTGTCTAACAAATTAGATGCAATCTTGAAACTTTGCATGCCGTGTAGTGTATTAGAATATAAATAAGCACACAAACAACTATTAACACAGACCCCTATTGCCAGGTCTTCTTTATGGAGGTAATAGTTGTATGTGTGCTTATTTATATAAAACAGATGCAATGTCGATATTAATGCGTCGAGGAAGAGCAACTAGTTGATACCACGAAACATTGGAATACGTAACCCAAGAAACAAGAACGCAAAATGCGAAGAGAAATAAACATCCAAAAATAATGGGAAACAAATACGGTCATAAAAAGAAAAATCTCACACGAGCACACACCTTAATGAAAAATAAAAGACGTAAAACTAAATACGAAAGACAAACATAACCACAAATGGAATCATTTGGGGCCCTGAAAAGGGCCGTTTTTAAACTGAAAGCAAGTCTATTTCGAACTGGTGTACTTAGTGACGGCCTTGGTCCCCTCACTCACCGCATGCTTAGCCAGTTCACCTGGTAGCAACAGTCGAACAGCAGTCTGTATCTCACGACTTGTGATCGTGGATCTCTTATTATAATGAGCCAACCTCGAAGCTTCAGCTGCAATTCGCTCGAAAATATCATTCACAAAACTATTCATGATGCTCATAGCCTTAGAGCTGATACCGGTGTCAGGGTGCACCTGTTTCAACACCTTGTAGATGTAGATGGCGTAACTTTCTTTCCTCTTGCGTTTCTTCTTTTTGTCAGTTTTCGATATATTCTTCTGGGCCTTACCGGCCTTTTTAGCAGCTTTACCAGACGTCTTTGGCGGCATGACACAACCAACAACCAACTTCGGTGCGGAATGCAAATTTTTGGAAAAGTGGTCGTTTTTAAGTGCGTAGGGTTCAAGGCTACTGTTACAACTCCGCGCCAATGAAAACATGACTTGTGACGTCTTTGTAAGTTATTGTCGGTGATTGGGTAGGGTTCAATTCCTCATAGTCCTACAAAATGGAGCGGTTTTTCGCAAAAATTGTATTCGAACACGTGTTACTGCTGTTCTTCGCAATGTCTGGTCGCGGTAAAGGTGGTAAGGTTAAAGGCAAGTCCAAGTCTCGGTCTAGTCGAGCGGGACTGCAGTTTCCGGTGGGCCGTATCCACAGGCTACTCCGCAAAGGAAATTACGCTGAGCGTGTTGGTGCCGGTGCTCCTGTGTACTTGGCTGCTGTGATGGAATATTTGGCTGCGGAAGTTCTTGAATTGGCTGGCAATGCAGCACGTGACAATAAGAAAACTAGGATTATTCCTAGACATCTGCAATTGGCGATCCGAAATGATGAAGAGCTGAATAAACTGTTGTCTGGTGTTACAATTGCTCAAGGTGGTGTGCTACCTAACATTCAGGCTGTGTTGCTACCGAAGAAGACTGAGAAGAAAGCTTAAGAGTATCTGATTTTTAAAAACGGCCCTTTTAAGGGCCCCAAACTTTCTTAAGAGGGGTTCGTTTGTCACGAAGTACTATGTTATTTGCCTCAGCGAATCTTTGCATTGATCCTGCTGCACGATATGTTACTATCGCTTTCATCTTGTACGCATTGACATTCTTTATTTGTTTCCCATGTGGAATTGGAGTAAGTTGCTCTTATGTCATACGCCGACGACTTCTAATGGCAACGTGTGTGGGTTGCTCCTCACGATTAAACCTAGCTTTGGAGTGCGGTAGGTACAGTATTTTGTACGCCTTTCATATTCGCGACCTAGATATATACATTGTAATAAAGACGATTGGGATACTGTTCTCATTTCAGTCATCCAAATGAAGCATTTGCGAGCCAGCGTTCATTACACCATATTTTCTGATTCCTAGGACTTGCCTTTAAAATTTTCCAAGCTTTTGACCCATTCTGGAGTGTATTTCTGTTTGTACTAAATATGGTTTCTTGTAAGTTGAATGGTGTGGCAAAATTAAAAGACTAGCCCACTTCTGTATTACCACGCGGTCTTCTTCTAACCTTCGTAGTCGAGAATGTGTTGTCTGGTATTCACTTGGTGAATCTGTCTGACAGAATCAAGACCAGATTTGTACTCGAGTTTGTAGTTTTCTTCGAGTAATGTATCCAGGTTCACGCCAAGCAAAGCAAGATGTTGGAAACGCCCATAACAAGCACAATATTGAAGATTTCTGTCTTTTGGGTTGTTGCGCTGTGTTGTCTGGTCGATGCTAACTGTAACGTTTTATTTGAGTTTAGTCCTACTAATGTGGTAGCGTAGCTTGGAATGGCGCAAGGCAGCTGATGTGATAATTCGTCTATGAGGCTACACCTTGTTTCCTAAGACTATCACATTTATTTCTAACATGACATAAATACAACAATTTATTAAAACATTACCTACCTAATTCAGGCTAGTTCACTTTATCATTAGTACACTCTTGTTACGTAAATTTTGAATATTATTTAATTTACCCTTACTACCTATACTTGGATTCATCGCCTCAGCGCTTACCTGTTAGAAGTAGCCCGATCAGCTGCACGTTGCTCATAGGTTTGATGACCTCCTGCCATCTTGAAAGTTCTGACCGCGATCTCACTTCAACGTTTCTTTCTTATCCCCTGAGAGTAAGGTGAACTAGCCTTGCAGCTTAACTCTATGCCAGGAAATGACATCAACAGATTCCTACATGCAAATGTCTGCTCTTCTTAATTCTAACTAAGTTCAAATCTCTACATTCCTAATTTACAATATCTTAACCAAAATTAATTCACTACGTTTCAGAGGTCATACTGCCTCCGTCATCAGGGCGTTGGTTAGCATCGACCAGACTACACACCGCAACAACCCAGAAGACAGAAATCTTCATACTTACCTATGTGAAAACCTCAAATCTTACAAGCACAATATTGATTACCATGTAGTGGCATTGAATGCAACAAATCCTGTATTAATATAGGGTGTAGTCATAACTTGGGAGGGTAGCGAAACCGAACCCCGAAATAATGTAAGGAAACATTTCCGTAAACCTAAGCGCTTCAGCGGGCCGAAAAATCTCGGCCAAATCATGCGCTCAATATTTTCGGCGCTAGGTAACCTAACACAAGTGAGTACACGCCAGTCATATAAACAATATAAAGTATGCCTTAAAGTTTAAAATGCCTGGAAGCCTCAGTCCTAAGATTGCAGGGGAACTTTAGCGTGTATCACCAGACATTGAACCCTTATAAAAGTAACGTACTTTCCCCCAACGAAAGTAGGCGGAATGTGTAACCTTTAGCAACTAGAACCCAAATTATTTTCGGTAATCCTTGTTAAAAATTATAGACATACGCATAACATTTGAAAACTTTGTTCAAACGAACATCCGAAAATATCTGGTAAGCATTTGCCGTATCTCATGCGGAAGTAGCACCAACGGCAACTGAAATTCATATTGCGATGATACTGGTCCGTATTTATTGCCATCAAATTACGTAAAGAACAAACCTGGCTTGAATAGGCACGAATGACCCGCAATGTAGCAAAATGCATACTAAACTGCCTGCTAGCCATACGATACTTCATGTATCAAGTAAAGCATTGCAAAAAAAAACATTGCGCTAGGAAATAGAAGTTACGTCCGAAACAAGTAATAGAATAGCACGCAAAACATTCAGAAATCTAAGCATAACTGAATGGCGGAATAACCAAACTCTCAAGATAATTTGGGGCCCTGAAAAGGGCCGTTTAAAATCAAAACCGTTAATTTAACCGCCGAAACCGTACAGTGTACGACCTTGTCTCTTCAATGCATACACCACATCCATTGCTGTAACTGTCTTCCTCTTAGCATGCTCCGTGTAGGTAACAGCATCACGAATAACGTTCTCCAGAAACACTTTCAACACACCTCTGGTTTCTTCATAAATGAGACCGGAAATACGCTTAACACCACCACGTCGAGCCAGCCGCCTAATAGCGGGTTTCGTAATCCCCTGGATGTTGTCACGAAGAACTTTGCGATGTCTCTTCGCTCCTCCTTTACCAAGACCTTTACCTCCCTTACCACGACCAGTCATTGTTGTTCGAGAATATAGGACGCAATACCTGAAAATTTCCAAAATTTCTCTTCTTATGCTTCTGGTCAAGTTGTTACTGTCCAATCACAGAACAGAATTCTCAGTGGGCGTGTACAAATGGGTTTTTGTTCCAACTGTCCAATCGAATTACAGTATTCCAGGGTGGGCGGATCCAAATGCCATCATAGTTAGTATAAAATAACCACGTAAATCGGTCGACACTAAATCTTCCCCGGAGATATTAGGGACTATGGCACGTACTAAGCAAACTGCACGTAAGTCGACCGGTGGCAAGGCGCCAAGGAAACAACTTGCCACTAAGGCGGCTAGGAAGAGTGCTCCTGCTACGGGCGGTGTGAAGAAGCCTCACCGTTATAGACCCGGCACTGTTGCTATACGAGAAATCAGCCGTTATCAAAAAAGCACAGAGCTGCTTATTCGCAAGTTGCCTTTTCCGCGGCTTTTACGCGCAATCGCCCAAGATTTTAAGACGGATCTTCGCTTCCAGAGTTCAGCTGTGATGGCGCTTCAGGAGGCTAGTGAAGCGTACTTGGTGGGGCTGTTTGAGGACACTAATCTATGTGCCATTCACGCAAAGCGTGTGACTATTATGCCCAAGGATATTCAACTTGCTAGACGCATCAGAGGCGAACGAGCTTAGGTATACTACATGTAAAACGGCCCTTTTAAGGGCCACAATTTCTCTCGAATGGGTTTGGTATGTTCTCCATTTGTCTATGATTATTAATTCTCCGACATTTCTATATCTATTATGCCTTCCAACCATTTCAGGTATTCCCTTTACATGTTAAAATTTGTATTTAGACTTATTTGCTGATGGAATGTTGAAGGCATATTTCACCTATCATTCCTACTTTTAACCCAGACTGATTTCCTAATGTTTAATGCTCAATGTGGGGGTCACTAAGTACATTCTGAATGCATCATTGTCCTCGTGTTCGAACGTAGAATTTTATCAGTTCAACAGATTGTTTCATTTGTATGATTTTGAGCTTGGTGTACAATACAAGTCTAAGACTAAAATTATGTAATTACTCCAGTTCTACTGTAACTAAATACCAACTGGGTTCTTGGGTCACTAATAAATGGAGAACTTATTACTTTATCTATGGAGCCTGAATGTTACCCTGATCTCAGCACATTCTGGTACCTTGTTTAATGAATTCTATGTCTACCAGCCAGCATTTTGGGAACTGTCCTTGTCGAAAGTGAAATTTCTTAAAGACGCATTACAGTATTATTCTTCCTTCTACTATGGCTACATCTCCAAAGTGGTCTTTCTGCAAGCTGACTAAAATCTGTGATGCATGTTACATGCCCCATCCATCTCATCAACCTGGTCATTGCATAAATGCACCATTTTTGTCAGCTACTGAATGTTCATTGGGATAGTGATCTTTGATAAACTTACATTCATCTGAGCCATTAGTAGCTCGGCCTAGTTCCTCTGAGAAAGACACTTATTAAAAAGCTGAAAATGTAAAAATGGCTACTTAATCAAATTCCAGTAGGTCTAAATATGGAAAAACTGTCAGAACACTGGAAGAAATCTATAAGAAGGGTAATGGAAATTGCTGTAGTAATTATTCCAAACATCACTACACAAAATTTTACCCACACATTCTTTGTTAACCCCACCATTCGGATGAAATTATAGGGAATCATCAGTGTGGATTTTGGCATAATCCATCACACACTGACAGGATACTTTGCACTCATAAGATATCTGAGTATATATAAGAATACAATTAACAGTATATCAGATATGGAGTTCAAGGAAGCCTATGATATGGTTCAGTTAGGGTAAAGTATTATTCAACATTCTTAATGAATTTGGTATTCCCACAAAAACTAGTTAACTGATTAACATGTATTTCAGTGGATCCTAGCAAAGTCTGAAGAGGTCTGATGCATTTTCTACTCACAATGGTCTTAAACATGGAGATTTATCACCGCAGCTGCATTTAAAATTTGCTTAAGAATACGTCATTAGGAAAGAACAAAAAGAGGCACATTAGCTTCTGGTCTGTGCTCATGATAATGATAATAAAAACATAATACTATTACACATTAGTAAGGAGAGGCACTACTACAGGTGTAGAAGTAAACATGGAAACTAATCACGTCTCATCGTCAGACAGTGAGATAAAATCATAATATACTTGAAATTGTGACCAACTTCAAATATTCGGTGTAAAACTTTGTCACTCACATTAGAGGAATGATAACGTGTGAAATGTTTAAGAAGAGAATATCTGAACTTTTTGCAGGATAAAGAAACAGGAGGCTGGAAATAACTGAATAAGGAGCTTCACAATATGTCCTCAGCAAAATACTAAAATGACCAAATCAAAGAGAATGAGATACTCAGGGCAGAAAGGATTTCATGTTTGTTTCTAGTAACCCTATATTCTGATGATAGGTATTC